TATATATGTTGTTGTTAAGTGCCATAGAGTCGCTTCTGACCCATAGCGACCCTGTATAGGGTTTCTGAGGAGCAGCTGGTAAGCTTGCACTGCCTAATCTCTGAGGCAGTGATTGTGAGGTGGGAAGATAGTGTCTACCACTCAGGGAGACACTGAGTGTGGTCCCCATCACAGTGCTGGTCTCTGAGCAGGAACTGGTTGAATGTTACAGGGTTGCCTCTTGCCTAGGGAAGCACATGCTTCTCTTCCTGAGAGTTTTCAGAAGGATCAGGGCTTGAGCTACTAGACAGCTAATTGCTGCTACCTCTGGCCCCCATTCCTCCACTCTAGCCCTTGGCAGCAGATCAAGGTCCTGCATTGGCATAGGGAAATTAGAAACTGAGGCCATTGTATCTTTGATTCAGGTGATAAAAGACTGGCTGTCCTTCAAAAAAACAGTCAGTCAAATTGGGAAAATGAAAAGCGTTTTCTTATGAAAACAATAAAACCCACACAGACTGATGCAAATAATTGAATTGGTGGGATCACTCAGCTGCTTTTTTGGTGATAGTCCAAATAAAGTGGAGATTTATTTGAAGTCACAGGGCTTGCCCTGCAATGCTACCAGAGCCTCCTTTTCTCAAAGCCCAGCGCTCTTTTTGTTCGGTGCTATGCCCACTCCCTGGCGTCCTGGTGTGGCGCTGTGGGTTAATGCGCCACACTGCAAAGCCGTTTGAACTGCAAGATCGGCGGCTCAAGCTATGGGTCGGAATCGACTCGATGGCATTTCACAACAACAATGCCCACTCCCTGCTCTCCCTTCTGCTTCCCGCCTCATGTCCTCCCTCTGGAAAAGGTTCTTCCTCTTTAGAAGCCAAGACCCAGACCAAGGCTTTTACAAGACTCACCTAGGACACTTGCACACGCGTCTTCGGTTTCCTTGATAAGAAAAAAAGAAGGGAGAAATGACTTTTCCCACTCCCCAGAAGTCTCTAAATACGGGCTTTTCTTTCCTTTCTTATTTTTTTGGGGGACTGTAACTCTTGAGAGCCCAGGTGAGAGTTTCTTGTCCCAGGAGCTAATTTTTATAAATTGCAAATACAGATGTGAGTGAACATGCTGAATCTGCCGACCTGATGTGGGACTCAAAAGAGAGAGGAGGGTAGAGAGGGGATTCAGAGCACACTTCAAATCGATTGTAGCTTTGACCCAGTCTTCCTCCGCCAAGGGCTCTCTGCCTTCCACAAAACCTCCGGGAGAGTGGAAAGCGGAGCGGAAAGCAACTTTAACGCGTTCACTCTTCGAGAAACTGTGTGGTCCAGGGGTCAGGGGTGCAGCACAGAAGCCCCAACCCCAAACTCCCCACGTGGAGCTAGTAGGGCAGAAACAGACCCCTCTCCACCCGACACCCTGACCCTGCCATGTTTCTCCAAGACTTACTGTAGCTGCAGATGACGGTGACAATCAAAGACAGAAGAAGGACCGAACAGAGTCCAGCCAGGGGCACCCAGATGTAGAGATCGCAGGTGAAGTCCAGTGACGACATCTTGTCCACTGACGACATCGAACGTGCTGACATTTAGGAACCAGCCTGCCCCCTCTCTACCCCCATCCAGTCCCACCACCCCTGGCACCTCTCCCAGCAGCTCAGCGTCCTGCGTCCCCTCCACTTGGACTGGTCTGCACTCCCCGCGCCCCCCCCCCCCATATCCCCTGGCCCGGCCCGTTGTGGCCAGCTCACCTCCGCGGCCTGCTGAGGTTCGACATGTGTCTGGACGCAAGGACACGTTGGTGGGAGCCACTGTAGGTGGTCGCGGCGCTGGCTTCGTGGTGGGCTTTTCTGTAGGGGCAACAGAGAGTAGTCGCGGGTCCTATTGGGGCCCTGGACGCGCATCCCATCCAGGCGCACCGGTAATAGACTGTCATCCGCGCGAACTCCACGATGGGGAGAAGGGACAGAGGTGGGGCTAACGGAACGGCCCGACCCTTGATGACCCTTCACGGCGGCAGTAGCCACCACCTCCGGCCCTCAGCGTCTGTAACCCACTGCCAGCCTTTGTCCAGAGCTCAACCAGCAGTCCTGGGAGCTCGGCTTGATACCTGCATTTTACTGATGAGCAAAAGGAGGCCCAGAACATTTAAGTCATTTGCCCCGGGTCACACCAGCATCGGAATTCTAACCGAATTTGACCAGACTGAAAAAGCCACTTCCAGTCCCTATTTAGCTACATCTTAGCCTCAGTTTCCTAGTTTGGGAAATGGGAACAGTATCGAATAGTCAGTCAGTCACCAAGGACATCATGAGTTCCAAAACGAGAGTCGTGTGACAAACGGGTATAGATGTGATTCTCAAATCGCCCTCCTCCCGACTCCACGAGGCGGACAGTGCTGCCCAGCGCCCCGCACCTGGGAGGAAGACCGGCACGAAGGCGCTGAAGTATATCACGGAGTTGCTCATGACAGAGCAGAAGTAGTAGCCTTCGTTTTCCTCCTGGAAACGGCTCAGGGTGAGCTTGAAGGTGTCAGGGGGGACCTTGGTACCCGAGATCAGCTCGCTGTTCAGCCCCTCCGCCGTCTTGATCCGGCTGTTGGTGATGTACAGGAGGAATTTGGGGCTGGCGAAGGCGTCGCGCCTCTGGAAGAGCCATGAGCAGCCCGACGCCCCGGTGTTTAGCAGCATCTCGCACTGCAACTCCACAGACTTGCCCAGGGTCGCCTCTACCCTTTGTGGAGACATCCGGAACTTATTCTGCGTTTGGGCCTTGGCGGCGTCTGCGGATGGCAGACAGCGAGCTGAGTTCGAAGCCCAGCGCTCCAGCCAGCCTCACCCGCCCTCATTCCCCGGCGAGGTCACAAACTCACCGAGCAGAAGGACCAGCGGCAGAAACAGGGCGGTCACCGGCGAGGCCATGGTGCGCTTCTCCGCGGCGCCGCCTCGCGCGAGGCTCACACCGACGGGAAGGCGCACCGCAACCGGCAGGGTGGGGAGGGGAGGTTGAGCCGTCCGGCCGGCCGCCCAATTTCGCTCGAGGAGGATGTGATGTCACTCCAGCCCCCCGCCAACAGAGTCACCTTCTTTTGCGTGGTTGTCACCTTCGAGACGGGTAAGGGAACTGGAGGCTGTGAATGGGGTCCATAGAGGAGGGCTTGCCAAGCAACCGGGAGACAGTTGAGAATTACGGGTTTGAAGAAAAGGGCTTGGGAATCAACCAACAAGCAACCCTTTACTGCCAAGTCGATTTCGACTCAGCGACCTTAGGGTTTTAAGACTGAAATCTTTACAGAAGCCGACTGTCGAAGCGGCTGGTGGGTTCCAATCACTAACCTTTGGGTACAGTTGACCCCTTAGCTCCTTATGCCCTGGGCTGGGCAATGGTTTTGAAATGGCTGTCTTGTGGCCTGTGAGCCGAGGATGAAGAGCGATTAAAGGAGGCATTGGAGAAGAGAGGGTGAGAGTGTCCTGGAAAGGAAGAAGAAGCGAGTGCCTACTTTCTTTGTGCTCAGCAGCATGTAGCCTTGGGGCTTTTTGTCTGCAAAATGGGCACTGAGAGCTGAGAAGGAAGAGGGGTAAAAGACCTGCCTGCTTCTCTGGAACTTGGGCAGAGCAGGGCTGTCACCTCCACCATAACTTTCATGAGCTGGGGCTGTGGGGCAGGCAACCCTCTGCTGACCACACCCTTCAGGGCCCTCTCCCAGAAGGTCCTGGAAACACACAGATTCCTCCCTCCTTCGGGCCATAGCACTCCAGTCTCTCCCAGTCAGTCCCCCAGGCATCCTGCTGTGGAAATTATTCCCCTAAAAGGTGTTCTAGGATCCTGCTGTGGCTATGTAAGATAAACACTGGACTGTTAATCATAAGGTCAGCAGTTCAAACCCACCATCCTCCTCAGGAACCCTATACAGATCGCACCTAACAACAGCAACAACAACATCAAAGGGCATCTGATAGTGCCATTCTGAAGGAAACTCATCTCTCTGACTTGGCTTAGGGAGCCTTTGGGTTCTGGTTGCTCTCAGTCTCCTGCCCCTGCCTTCTAAATCGGCTGCAGCTGCTGCACAGGGTTTGTTTGAGATATTTAAACTCCGTGCTCCGTTTTGCACTTGCTGTTTTCTTTTGCTTGGAATGTCCTCTATTAAAGCCTGGAGACCTACTCCAGTGCTGTCTGACCTCTAGATGCTCAGCAGGAACACACATGCCCCCTTCCTTTTTGCCTGCTGTTATCCTGAAAACTTCCAGCTCCATCGTCCTGATCTTTCCCTATTTCTCTCCTTCATGAATCCCATGATGGGTACAGCTGGCATTGCTGCTGCTTGGTTCTAGTCAGGCCACCTGGCATATCTTTTCCATGTGCCTGCCCCACCTATAATTTCTACCAGCTGAGGAAAGACTTCATGATGAGTAGCACCCCCTCCCCACCTCTGGCCCCGGATGTTATCATAGAGCATGGTCTGAGCTGAAGTCTTGGAACTGAACTCCCTTAGAGGGTCCAAACTCAGATGGCAGACGCTTGTTGTCATTACTTAGATTTCAATGCCACTCTTTCTCAACGTATTCAAGGTGATTACTTTAGCATGAAACATCAAATAGTTTATATTCAGAAAATTTTTTTAAATTACAAGAGTGATATATTGTTGAAAAATTTCAGACAACCCAAAAACGAATACAGGGAAAATCCACCATCTTTCTCTCCTCATGGTCATTCATTTTCCAGATAAAACCACATTTCCAGCTGAGTGAGTTCCTCAGGCATCATCTGTGCACAGACGGATGCTTAAGCATTGCTTTCTGTAGATGGGATTGTATTTTGTGTACATAGTTTTGCAACTTATTCTTTCTTACTTTACAGTATAAGAAGGAAAGTTTATTGTGTTGGCACGAGTAGAACCCACTCTTTTATTTATTTATGTATTTCTGTTTGCATAATAATATATATGGATTCTTTGATTTATTATACATAAATAAATAAAATAATGGCTTCTACTTGTGCCAAAACAAAAATATATATTACTATACAAGGAGCTCCTGGTAGCGTAGTGGTTACGAATAGGGCTACGAACTGCAAGTTCAGCAGTTTGAAACTACCAGCTTCTCCGCGGGAGAAAGATGAGGCTTTCTGCTCCTGTAAAGATTTACAGCCTTGGAAACCCTGTACAGGGTTGCTATGAGTTGGAACTGACTCCACAGCACATAACAACCACCATATAAGGAACTCTGGTAGCATAGTGGTTATGAGTTGGGCTGCTAACCTCAAGGGCAGCAGTTTGAAACTACTAACCATTCCTTGGGAAAAAGATGAGGCTTTCTTCTCCCATAAAGATTTACAACTTCGGAAACCCTCTGCAGGGTCTCTATGAGTTGGAACCAACTCTATAGAAGCAGCAGCACCACCACCATTTACTACATACATGTGTGACTGAATCAGAAGCAGTTGAAAACTACCAAGCTGCTCTCGGAGCTTGGAGTCAGAACTGACTTAACTCCATACAACACTGCTTATTTTGTCATTGTTGAGGAAATCTACAATGAAATATACACCAACTCAACAGTTTCTACATGTGACATTGATTGCATTCTTCGAGTTGTGCAATCATTCTCACCCTCCTTTCCTGAATTGTTCCTCCCCTCACACAGTGGTGTGGCACTGTGGGTTAATGTGCTGGGCTGCAAAGTTGGTTTGAACTGCAAGATTGGCAGTTCAACCTCACCAGCTGCTACTTGGCAACCCTATACAGTGTTGCTATGGTCAGAACCTACTTGATGTAACTAACAGAACAACAACATTATAAACTCACTGCCTCTCAATTTTCTACCTAATCTTTCTAGTTGCTGTTGTCAATGTCATATCATATAGATCTTGAAAGAACACAATGCTCAAGGTAGATAGTCTTTGCTGGTTAAGTGAAACTAGTATTTGGTGTTAAGAAGAGTTCAGAGGATAATTTTAGTTCAAAGTTTAAAGATTACTTGAGGGAAAAAGTTTTCAGAGGTTCATCCAGCCTCCACGGCTCCAGAAACTCCGGATTTCATGAAAGTTTGAAATTTTGTTCTGCATTTTCCCCATTTTGGCCAGGATTCTTCTATATAATCTTTGACCAAAATATTCAGTAATGATAGTCAGACACCATTCAGTTCTGTTCTCATGGCAAAGAAGACAGTTGTTCTTAGAGACGAAACAGTGCCTTTTCTCCTCCTATTCCTGACTCTCCTTCTTCCTGTGTTATTCCAAGTGAATACAGACCAATTGCTGTGCCTGGAATCTCCGTTTTTAAAAATGGGTGTTCTTTAGATGTTATTTCATATAAGTTCCCTATTAGTGTAGTGGTTATGAATCGGGCTGTAAACCACAAGGTCAGCAATTTGAAACTACCAGCTGTTCCGTGGGAGAAAGATGAGGCTTTCTGCTCCTGTAAAGATTTATAGCCTCGGAAACCCTGTACAGGGTCGCTATGAGTCAGAACCGACTCCATGGCACATAACAACAACAAACAACAATTAATGACACTAGGGAGTTTCTAAGTGCCAGAGAATACAAGAAAGATGTTTATCTGTGCTTTATTGATTTTGTAAAGGCTTTTGACTGTGTGAATCATGATGAACTATGGACAGCATTGCAGGAAATGGGAATTGTGGAAAACTTACTTATGCTTATGAGGAACCTGTACATAGATCAAGAGGCAGTCACTAGACAAGCAGACCAACCTGGAACAATTAGAGTGACAGAAGATACATCTTCAAAGAAAGATCATCAGGAAAAACCCAAAACAAAAATGGCAGTATGATTGGCTACTGCAAGAATAAACAAGTTGTTTGCTAGAAAGCCATCAAGACAAGCAATCAAGTTCCTTCAGAACAAACTCCCCTCTAAGAATGAAACTCAAAGGGAACAAACATTGATCTACTGTTGAGTGGAAGAGGGGGAAAGGCAGCAACAAAGAAATGGGCTGAATTCAACCATGTTCCATAGACTCCTGTTGACCTGAAGATGAGAGAGAAGAGGAAGGGCTGGTTTGTCCAAAGTGTGTTGAGACCTGGGGACACTGAGCCTATGGATAGGACATAGCCACAGAGGACTAGAGCTGAGAGTGAAGCATCCAGCTGATATGAAGTGAGGGGAGACGCACAAGAACACCCAAACTTGCAAACAGTACTCATTTGACCTAGCCTCGATGGCTTGATAATCAGAACTCAACTAGAGGAAGATAAAAAAAGAAAACAATTTTTAAAAATGTTTTATTGTGAATTATATGATAGTTTACATTAGTTTTACATTCATTCTATCATATATTGAAGAAAACAGTTTTTGATAGAGGAAATGAGGGTACAATTTGATGAAGTTGACCTACAGTCATGGAGGTGGTGGTGGTGGTTATGTGCCGTGGAGTCAGTTCTGACTCATAGCGACCTTGTACAGGGTTTCCGAGGCTGTAAATCTTTACAGGAGCAGAAAGCCTCATCTTTCTCCTGCGGAGCAGCTGATAGTTTCGAATTGCTGACCTTGGGGCTCGCGGCTGAATTCGTAACCACTATGCTACCAGTAGCTCAAAATACCAACAGAGAGGGAAGGAGTCTTCACATCAAGTATCAATGCTATCCCCTCTGTATACAGGGTAGATAGGGACAGGCAACTTAGACATTGGCTACCTAAAATGAGGGGACGATAAAGGCACAAAGTGACTGACTTTCAAGGTTTCAAGAGGGAGTTTAGTTTAAGAGTGTGTGGGGGAAGAAAGATTCTCCACTGAATAGTTTTCATCTTGTCTAGATGGGTCTGGTAAAAAGAGATGGGGATAAGAGTCTTAGGATTCAATAGTGAGTAATTGTTATCATGACTAATTGCAGCTGTTGCAATTGTAAAGGTAGAAGTTTTGTAACCAAAATGGAGGAGTAGTTAATCTTACAGTCCATAAACAGAAGACCCTAGGACCATCAAGGGAG